CCACTGTCCTGAATGGTCAGTCATATAATGGGGGAGTTGAGTGCAAGCAGATGGTGCGGCATAAACCTGTGCCTGGCTGTGTCACCCGTTGGATGGCATTCGCAGACTGGTTAACGAGTGCCGTACGCTAATCTTGCCCCGTAACGAAACTTCAGCGTGACCCGTATTAGCGAAGTGAGTGGAATCGATGCTGAGAAAGTCATCTTAACTGTGCCACGCTGAGTCTTGTCGTGCTCGACAGGCGAGTTGTCGGCTGGGGGAATACGAACACTCAAACTGCATGTGTTCCATATGACTGCGGGGGGCAAATACTTTTATGGATTGTTGGGCTTTGTCGAATCTTCTCCAACTCTTTTACTGCCAGCTGATCGCCCTCGAACGTAAGTTGTCTGTCATCAGTGCCCTTGAGTTCAACTCTTCATTATCACATGTTAGATTATTGTAAGATTATCAGTAATCATCAGCAGTATTCACCGATCCGGCATAACTACTTGTAGTAATAAGGGATAATTGAAAAGTATTTAGGTAGGCCTAATTAATCTAGGATTTGTGAATCGTGAAAATACGAAATGGGCGCTAACTGAGGGAGGGGAGGCGGTCTTACTCTCCTTGGTTGCAACTAGAAACGTCCAAACGTTGTCGCTCAGAGTACTCTGTTGATTGCGCACCATGCAGTGAGCTCTGTTTGTGATTACCCCTGTTGCTATCACCCTTTTGTAGGCGAAAACCTGCGTTGTTTCTTTTACCACCGTTTCAATCTTTCTCTCTTTTTTTTAACTATTTAGTTGCTTCGCATTTTATGACAAAGGCGGTTTATCTTTCTCGACCTCTTTCAGGTGCTGCCAATCGATCATTTCTACCTGGACATGAATGGCATAATCCATACCTCTTCGCACTGTGAAGACATGGCCTTTAAGGCCTTCGACGAGGCCAAGGTCTTTGCCAACATAGAGGACTACATCACAGTGAGCTGGTTTTCTCGTGCTCGCATGCCCTATCTTCCCTTTGTTTTCTAGTACCTTGTGGCATTGATGAAACCTCGAAAGACTCTCTACCTGGCTGTCGACGGTGTCGCTCCAAGGGCCAAGATGACGCAACAACGTGCTCGGCGTTTTCAGTAAGTCACCCTCCCCCCCTCCCCTTCCTCATCCTTTGTTTTGACTCTAACACATCTGCAACCAACATTGTTTTATGAATATAAGCCTGAAGGCGAGAAGTCAATCACCGAAAGTGTCTATATACAGTGGATTTTTTATCTCGTGAA